GAGTTTCAGTACAGCACCATTCTTTATTCCATTGCGGTTCTAAAGGAAGGTAACATTTAACCGCATCAACAACATCAATTACCCAAGATCTAATTATCAGTGATTAGTAATTGTCCCTTCGATACTTAACCCTTCACACTCTAAAATCAGCATGCATATTCTCCATACTGTTCTCAATACATTTCCTGAGGTAATGACAAGAAGAACTGGCATAACAACAGACAGCTTACTTTAGTTATTGATCATTTCTTTTCTTCTCATAACCTTAATGTATGGTTTGGGGGCAATATTGTAGGGAGAAATTAGATTCTAGTCACTCTTAGGGGTCAAAGGGTCAATATATTTTCTGGAAAATTAACCAAGACAATTTGGTGTTACATCAAAAGAACAACCTCTTGCTGATATATATGTGTATTCTTGTCACTTTTTCAATGGTTAATTATCTCTATATTTTGAAAGCTAACTAAAGGAGATCCATTAAGGGGTAGGAGCATCCTGTGGGAGGGTGCAGATGGATCTGTAGCCTCCTCCTCCCCCCCCCTCCATCAGACCTGTGGGTTTGTTCACTACTTGTATGAAACCAATACTACCACTCAACTTCAAGCATTGAGAATTCCTTCTTTTAAATATTTCTTGGCTTATCAAGGGCTCTAATATAAGTAAAGTCTCTGTTCCTGGATCTGCCCAGCTATGTCTTATAGGAATCACCTCTGAGAGTTACAGTGTAGAGGGTTAGCTGAATTTTGTTTAATCTATTAAAACTTTTCAAAGTTTTTTATCATCTCAAATGTTCAATAGTAGCCTTTTTTTTAACCAGGGACACTTGCATATAAAAAAATCCTGTTCTTCTAATTGTGGCTTATAGGAAAGAAGTATGGCTTACCTCCTCAGTTATGTAACAGTTATAGTCAGAATACTGAAAAGCATACTCCTCTGGGGTTTTTATGGACCAACTGAAAACACGAGTGAAAGGTCAGTTGTGAGTATGCAAACAAAACAACCTTATCCAGGATTCTTAGGATGAAAGCCAGGGAGGAACTTCTCCAAAAAAGTAAATAATTTTTACCCAAGTCGTGAGAGTGGGTTTATCCACTTTAGAGATGTTTCCTGGTTTGGGTGTAATATTTAAATCAAACAAAACCTTTGAATTATCCACATGCTATAGGAGCAATTTAAGGAAAATTTGCCCCATAAAATGCTGTGGGCCGGGTTTAAGTCTTACAGGTTTAGAGGCTCATAACTGCAAGTGCCTGGCACAAGTGAGTATAAGCATTGGTTCTCCATATAGGTGAAATACAATTCCATCCAAGGCTACCACCCAGCATTTTTTTGAGTTTTCTGTAGGAGTTCTTTAACACTCATTCTTGTATACTACAAATTCTTTCCAAAAGGGTTTCAAGAGATAGAGACCTTAGGGGCAAACACCCTAGGGGATGTGGAAAAATTTCTTCCTTTATCCCAGTCTATCTCCTTGCCTATTTTGCTGTTTACATTACAGAAGATTATTCTAAATTCAACATTAACCAATAGTTAATGGAGATCACACATTCCTTAGAGCCTCAAAGTGGTGTTTATTTATTTTCTTTTTCACTATGGATATCGAAATTTACCTATTGTAACACGTTTTCTGTCCAAAGATCCAAGGTTTCACCAAATAAATACCTCTGATTAATGAAGCACTTATAACTAATTATTGTTCACTAGACCATTTAAAGAGTGAGGAAATCAACACAGATATAGATGCGATCATATAAGCTTTAAATAGAAAGGTTCTATGAAACTTTAAAAGCAAACTATTGGACAGGTAATGATCACTGTTTGGGTACAACCTATAACTTGTGTTGATACCGGTTACTCACTTTGTGCAGATTTCCCTTATGATTTCGTCTAATGGTCGACTCTAGTGAAAGAAAAAGAGATATCATTACTGGTCTTTTGTTTAAAATAATTAGCATTCCTTAACTCATACACTACCAATGAATGATATCTCAAAAGAGAAATTCAATCAAAAAATTATTAGGACAACTTAAGACCTAATTAATAAGCTTGTTTCTTACAAACCTGATCAAAAGTTGTAAGCAAGGGAAGTTGTCCTTTTCTTTCGATGGCCAACTTCACCTGCGCTGGACCACTACGAACAGACATTATCGCAAGCTGTCCCCTTTATCCAGAAAAGGCTTTTTGAACCGCTTTCCGGGGTTCTCGATCAGTTCAGAACCCGCTGCAGACACAACCCTCTAACAACAGCATGAAAATTTGCCTCGGATCGCTCGTATAGATCAATTTCTTCAGCGTTTCACCGCCCAGTAACGACGATTATCCAGTAAACCATCTCTGAAATTATTATCGAAGCAGAAAACGTAGAAAGACAGAGTTAGACCACGAGGAAATATCACTTATTTGGACGAACACTTAACTGTTACTTCCGATAGAGCTCCACACTCCCATACGAACAAAACCTTACTAACCCTCCCCTGCTTAGATCATTTTGATACCACATCCTTCTAAGCTGCTGTACGCAGATGACTTTTTAGTCCTCAGAGATCTAGATCGTACGTAAATTTGAGAAAAAAATTTCCAATTTTAGAAATATATCATTAGTATTTCAGTAACACTAGACATTTTCCGACGTTATTTAAAGGATAATTCCTGCTGAGTAGGGGAGTGGAGGAGTGGGTGATAATGGCACTCCCATCAACCTTTGCGAAGTCGGTTTCAAACATGGCGGCAGAATGGATGAGCGGAAGTCCCTTATCTTCTTCTCAAATGATCGAAGTAGAAAGCAAATTTCGTGTACCACCAGACTTTGAGAAAGTTCTGGAATTGAAAGGAGCAAAACTTATGCGACAAACCACTTTCACCGATGTTTACTTCGACGCACCAAACCACGAACTGTCGCTTAATGGTTACTGGCTGCGGAAGCGAAATAATAAATGGGAACTTAAAATTCAGAAACTGAAAATTGAGCGGTGGATCGAAAGTAACCGCGAGATAGAAGACGAAAATGAGATTATAAATGAAATTGTGACGAGGCTGCGCTCTTTTTACCCAAATATTGACGGAGATTACACGTCTGTCGAGGACATAGTGCAAAGAACATCCTGTAAACAGATTGCATGTATTACAACGAATAGAGCTGTGTATGAGATGCCAAACAGAGTTGTAGTTGACTTAGATCAGGCAAGCTTTGGGTATCAAGTTGGTGAATTGGAAGTTGTAGTGTCAAATGAGAAAAACGTTGATTCCGCAAAAGAAGCTATTCAAAGAACTGCAGACTTTCTTGGTATGCTAAATTAAAGCTTCAGTGGCGTTAGTTTACTGAATTCTTGGAATACCTCTTTGAAACCTGAATCAACAAATTTGTCTTACACAGGTTGCCATGAGCAAATTTTACAAGTAACTCCTATCCAAAGTTGTTGATAGAAGGTGTATGTCTTTTGTGTGCAAAGAGGATTTTTTTAATCCATCTCCAAGTTCCTGCCTTTATTCTTTAATTGATGTTATTTCTATGAAGTGCAATAAACCCCTACCTTGTCTCTCCTTTACTTACTTCCTTTAACTCCTAGGAGTGACCAAAACAGAATTTCTCCTTACAATACTGATACAATTTCAAGCCAACAAATAATAGGAGTTTAAAAAAATTTCATTCAGGGAATCATTAGTTGATCCAATACTAAATTCTTGGAACTAATTCTATAAGCAATGTATTGGGGACAGTCAGGAGAATAAATTATGAGATCTGGGAGTGAAAGGGTTGGTGATTTCCTTAAACTAGGCGACAAAATCAAAATAAAAAAAGTGTTAAAGAATAACTGGGAATTTTTTTTGTACCATTTTTGAGGGAAGACACAAAAATGGGTGTTAGTTGTAAGTAATGATTTATCAAATAATCTGGGTTTTGAAATAAGCTGCTTCTTTTCAGAGACATATTTCATCCACAATCCTGACACTATCCATAATGAAATATTAAGGGAAAAATGGAATGAAAATATAAAAGTATTATTTTGATTGATTTTAGGCATAGAATGCAGATCAGACATTCCCAGCAAACTGGAGAAGTACATTTTCAGTAATTGCAGAAGTCATCATGAACAACTTGTTAAATGTGGATTCTTTGTAAAACAGCTGAAATAAAACCATCATGGATAAATTCAGATGTGTGTTATCCTGAGGCATACCAATCACTTTGAGAAATCAATTATAATGTAAAAGAATTAAATCATGAAGTGTTTATCTTGAAAAGATGCTCTCTGCCTCCACCAAACACCTTAGCATGTAAGGTTGGAAACCAGATCAGAATAATTTGAGTTGGTAAAAATGTTTAATTTCAAAAGTACAGATAGTACACTTTTCAGGTAGACACAGTAGCCAATGTGGGAGATAGAATGGCCTTTCAGGACCTTTTTCCCCCCTTTACATTCAGTCCACTGGACTGTAGGTGACGACGTTTGGGTTTGCATCATGGCTGGTTTATTGCATTGTGTTGTTTGGCAATACACTTTATTCTCACAGTGCCTCTCTCTCTCCAGGAGTGTAAATGAGTGATGAATATGCAATAAAATGCTGGGGGTAACCTGCAATGGATTAGCATCACATCCAGGGGCTGGGTAGGGGGAGGGGGGCACTCCTAGTGGCTTCCAGAATAGATACAACACTTTGGCTCAAGTACCAATCCTACCTTTTATGATACCTTTACTATGATTGTTGTCATAGTAACTTGTTGGATTCTGGATCAGGAGGTGCCAGTTTGAGTCTGAACAGGATCATTGATTTTTATTCTTGGGCAAAGTAGTTTACTCTCACAATGTCTCCAGCCCCATCCAGTTGTATGGATGTGTATGCATGAAACCTATAAAAACCTGACAAAATGCACAACAGGGTGGGGGGAGGGAGCATTTTTTTAAGTTGATGAGTGAATCCAGGCTACTGAGGCAGTCATATCTTTATCAAGTTAAGACGATTTGCAAAGGGTTACTGAGTTACTCTGTGGAGTCTCAAAACACAGTGAAAGGAAAAGTTTAATATGCACACGTAAATGGTAAAGATAACATTTCTAGGGAATTAGGAGCATGCCTATCTTTCAATGAGAATTACATTGGTGGTAACAAACAAACAAGTCTGTCTAACAACAATTACGTGACCCATGAGAAGAGGTTGAACGTTAGTTTTCATGGAATAGAAAATATTCTTGTAAAATATTTCGTGGAATCAAAACTTTTTCGCAAACTCAATACTCCTACTAATCAGGGAAATTTAATACAAGCATTGACCATGAAAGGATGATGGACAGTCGTTAATTTTGTATTCAATCAATTGCACATAAGAACGAAGTCAATTTCATTTTTTGCTGGTGATTACTCAGGGCTTTTTTTAGGAGTCGGCCGTTAGCTAAAATTGCCAACCTAGCTTTCTGAAGCGTTTGCTTTTTGTTGGATAACATGTGTAAAATGAAATCAATTACTAATTGTGAGAAAATTAAAAAGTTTCTCTAGAAGAAAGCTTATGAATAGACTTCTTTCTAAGAAGGCCTTTCCACTTGTTAAAGTAAAATTTTCTTTAACTGTTCTCCATCTTCACGTTCTCCTCAAAAGAGAACATATGTACACTTTTTTTTACCGTGGCATCTAACCACCACCAAAACCATCACTAAAAACTAAAACACCGAAAGCCACCGAATGCGGTTGTGACTTCCTGCAACCGCGGGATGATTCCCGCACCATGGCTTTTTAGGTAGGTATGAATGTAACTACAAACTGACAATTAAAAAGGGCTCAAACTCACTTACTTGCGATGCATTACTCTCTTACAGTACGTTTCTAATCACTTACAATCCGATATACAAACTACTTGAACTGCGCGACATTTCTCTGAAATGGCGACTGAAATTGAAGACTTGTCATGAAGAATAGTATTAAATACAGGCTATTGAAAAACTTTACGTTGATGCAAAATGACAGTGTTTAGCTGGCTGCGTGAGCAGGCAACATGAAGCGACAGCTGTGTTCTAATGAAGAAGAGAAAAAAGTTGTTTTTAGCAAGTGTATAAACTTAGCAGCTTCTAGGCGACTTTATCACGAAAAAATTTGAACAGTTTATGAGACAAAAAAGGGTCTAAAACACTCTTAGACTAGGAATTGTGTTTCCGCCACAGTTTGATAACATAGATTTTTTTTTATTTTGACTTTACTTTGACTTTGGTTTTTTTCAGTCACCACTTTGGAGAAGTTGATCTTTGTGATTTAGTGAGTTTGTCTGTCCCGTTTCAAACAGCTAACACAGCGCTTCGTTGTCATTTGTTTGTTTCATTTTCGGCTTGTAGGTTAAAGCGTTATTCTCTTCTTCAGCGGAGCTGTTGATCTCTGTGAGAGCAATAAACTCTCGCACTTGACCCAGATCTACGGAGAAATGGCGCCGTCGCTTTTGGGTTTTGGTAGAAACCACTTCTGTCATTTCCATGTCGCTCTGAAGATCCTTAGCAAAGCGACGTAACTCACCCAAATCTACCGAGTGATTTTCCCTGTGTTGCTTTGTTGGAGTTATTGTCGCCTGCACCTGTTGTCTGCATCCTCCACCCTGGCTTGGGGTATTTGAAGAAATCGCCCGTTGCAGCCTGTCGTAGATGGGGTGTCCAAGCCGATCCTCTGCCCCTCCAAGTGATCTTCGCCTTCCAAACCGTCGTAGCTGCTTGTAACTTGTGTTCTCGTAGAGTTGCTCGAAGTGGATAACCATATCCCGTAAGTGTGGTGGAAGGTTGAGCGAACCGTCAGGATTGATGTTGATGTAACGTGGTCGGCCATTACTGCAAGGGACGTTATCATCATCTATCGTCTCATATCCGTGTACTTGGGTGTTGATGACGTTTTCTAACCAATTGACGGAGGAGACGGCATATGGTGTCACTGGACAACCAATACCTGAAAAGGAAGCGAGGGCAAAGGCGAACATGTTAAATAACAGTCCTGCAAAGTAATGGTGTCACTTACAAAGTGAGGGCATTTGAACGAGCCTTGTAACGGCTTTTACATCTCGAGTTTGTCATTAAAATCCGTGTTGATCTCCTCCGTCCCAAATCATTCTCGGTCCGTTTTCAATGTCTTTCCATACCACAAGTTTTAATCGAGTTTGAACGATTGCATTGGTTTTATTCCCCGCTCCGCTCTGTAATTGGTTCAGAAAATTCACGCCATCCTCTCGACCAATCAGATTCAAATCTAAAACCACGACTTGGTCACTCGCGTTTTCTCGCGTTTCTTCACATCACTTGTATCACCCGGGATGAACAATGTATTCGAATTGGAAGAAGAATTTAGTCACGTAGCGGTCACTTCTGGTATTAACAGTCTTCAATGACACTGGGGGTGACTTAAAAACATTGCAACTAACCATACAGTGTTAGGGCGTATGTTTTGAGAGATGGCGCTCTCTATTTGGGTGCAGTTGAATACTTTGGATCAATATCAGTATCTGGGCAACTGCCCACCTACCCCTCCCCTAACCCAACATTAACCCTAACTTGTTATCAATTAACAAGGGGTAGGTGGGCAGTTGCCCAGATACTGATATTGATCCAATACTTTCATAATTCCCCTTTTCCACAACTTCGAACCCTCGGCTTAAAGTGCCAAATCGAATTCTCAGCTGCGAGAAATGATGTACCATTCACTTTTGCTTCGCTTTTTATTGATGTTTAAATAACATTTATCCCGGGTTGGAGGACCTGTGTGGGGATAAAATTTACCTGATCCTCCCATAGGGCTCTGAAATATTCTTTGGATCTCCCCCCTCATTGGCAGTTCATAGGCAGTCAGTTGATTATTTCTATAGCCCCTTCTTTATATTCTGTCGGCGACGACTGACCCCCCTCTGTTCCCCTGAAAACCAAATGATCCTCCAAAAAAATATCCACCCCTCCCCCTCTATTGGTCCCTAGGGGCAGGGAGTTATTCATGCGTGGAGAATCAATAATCATCCTACCGTTTTCACCGTCGTTATTTACTGCTGCTATCCTTTTTTTACGGAAAAAGTAGACCATTAAAAAAACTGCTCCAAAAGCAATGGATCCAGCAAACGCAGAACTCGCAATGATGCCCACTGTAAAAAACCGTGGAGAAGACAAGGCAGTTATTTTAAGACTCCATCTAATCGGTTACTCTTCTCAAAGCAACTTTAAATTGATTGTCGAAAGTTTTCTGGGATTGCATTTATTTTTTTCTTAACTACGCCTTTTGATTGGTTCAGAAGCTCACGCCTGTCAGAAAAACGAAAAAAAGTTTAAAAGGGCGAACGAGAGCGGCACCAGGCAAGTGAAAACGAGCCTATGTCGCGATTGGTTTATGTTTTGCATATAATTAAGTCATCGGTTGAAGCTTTTTTTGACTCAGTCGCAGAGCATAGTTAAGTACCAAAGCAATTGTGCAATTGTAGACACTCAATCGAAAACCGCTTTTTATGTAATTAAAAACAAACTTTCAAACAAACGCTTATTCTTGAATCTGATTGGCTGAACGAGATTTTCATTCATCAGTGACTTCTTGAGGCTCGTTTTTTCGATTATCCACTACTCAGTCTCGATCACGGGCTCCTTTCCCGTGCAGTGCCTGCCTATCGAGCGAATGACCTCACTCTTTCTTTCTCAACATTTAGTGAACTTTAAACGATGACCTTACCTTACCTTAAACTTAAATGGTGTCATATTTTATCATACCAATTGAAAAATTAATAAGATGTGAACTCATTTGCCGGCCGAGCCGCTGTTATTATCGTCAGTTTCTAGTAGGTGCGAATAATTTCATCTTTCTCCTTTTCATATGATATTGTTATTCAAACATTTTTCCCGTCAAAGCTCTGTGCGTTAAAGAATCAGCTGAACTGTCCTTGAGCGGTGCAACTAGATCGTTCAATGGATCAAATTTCAAAGACTAAAAGCAAAATTTGGGTTAGAAAGAGGACATTGTTACGGACGCCTAATTGTCAAACTTTTGACATCATAACAGTAAGCAGTAGTAAACATCTCCATGCAGTAGTTTCTCTGTTACCGTTTGAACCCTGTGATGATCTCGAACTTGGGCCACTGTTGGATTTCTCTGCCGGAAAGAGTAAATTAACTGGTTAGTTAAGAGATGGAATTTGATTAACTGTGAGTATATGAATGCGATTTCATTCAAATTAACTGGGAGAATTACTTGCGTGGTTGGCGTACAAAGCGGTAAGGGACGATTGTGATCAGGACGATTACGTTCTGCGCCCGTATAAACATTTCATCCCCTCCTCCCCACAGTTCCTGTATAAGCGAGTTGAAAGGGTCCACTTATTAGTAGACATTTTCAACAGGTTTGGCCCTGAAATTTCAATCTGATTTGAAAAATTTTGCTTAATTGGTTCATTCAAACATTACCAAAACTTTAATGAAAAACAAAAGCCCTGATGACAACAAATTAACCGTATACCGGGAAAAGGAATTTTTTAACTGTCAACCGTCGATCAGAGACATTAATTCATTAAGACCTTCATCCATCCATCAACCCGTACTTTCGTGCGACCGTCTGTCCGTTCGTATATGGTCAGCTGGTCAGTCGGTCAGTCAGTATACAATCAATCAGTCAGTAATTCCATCATTCAGTTAGGAAGAAAGTCATTCAATTAACTGTTAGCAAGTTGAAATTTCATGTATTACATACCTGATAAAGTTTTTGCGAGGTAGGCCGCGCTTTTTACCCCATCACCCTTGGCTGTAAATGCAAGGACATGAAAATTGTAGCTGGTGTTAGGTTTCAGTCCATGGATCTCTACAGATGTTTGATTGGAAGAAACTGATGTATTTTTAGCAACTGACGTATCGTTGTAGAGCACTCTGTATCCAAGTATTTCACCATTTGTGAAGTCCTGAGGAACTGGCCCCCAAATGATTTTAATCACTTTAGAGCTTAGGCCTGACACGGTTATGTCTGACGGAGGGCGATCTGGTACTAGAAAAGACGTCAGAAGTGAGTCATCCACTGCTGATTCTAGCAGCTTGTAGGACGCTTCTCTCATGAGAATCTAGTCGATGGCCTTGTTCTTAAACATTCGTCTGTAGCCCAGTCCTAGAGAATTAATCGGAAGATCCACAGCCACACCTCCTTCCTTCTTTTTCAAGAAGGAATGGTCATTATAACAGCCTTGTAAGACCCCAAATGCCTCCAAAGGACACTTAAGGACCATGCTGATGGAAAATTCTATCCACTTCCCTTCCCTGCGCCATAAACGCAATAGTGTGGTCCCGGCCACACTATTGTGTTTTTAAAAGGTTCCGTTTTCGTGTCAACCAAAACCCTGTAAAATATTTTTCCCAAACTAGCCAACACTTATCTATTACCCACATTAATGTATTGTAGAGCACCTATTTTTAACAGCTTTTCGCCTATCACCCATACTAAAACTTTCCGGAAACGCCAATGGAAGCGACACAGAATAACGCTTCAGGGTACAGTACCATTTTCAAAAGTTTTCATTTTCTCTTTTCTACATTAGGGGGAATCGTATAGCGTTTTCAAAATGATGCATGTTCGAAAGAGTCCACCTCTGAAACTGTTTTTTTATCATTTGGACACTTCGGTGTGGTGTAACGAAACACGTCCATGTAGAGGGGGCCTTAATCATTTTTATCAAATAGTGATAAATATGATTTTCTGGCTAGTTTGTGTGTGTAACTTTTTGTGTTATCCTTACCATCTTCATCAGTTTGCACCACAGTTGAAACTGGGGGTCCAAAGCCTTTTCTTGTCATCCCGGACACTTCAATCAGATACTTCTTGTATTTCTTAAGGTTGACAAGCGTGAGTGACCTTTTCTTTGTGTAATTTGTAGTAAAGACTCGCTGTTTTGTCAGTGAATATTGGCTATATTTCACTTGGTATTGAAGTATTTTTCCATTCCGGAACCCAAAAGGGATTGGGTCCCACTGGACCTGAAGACTGGTAGAGCTAAGGTTCCTAGCGCTCAGATAGTGTGGGGGAGCTGCAGGCGCTGTATAATGATAGCAAGAAAAGGTACTATGGTTATGAGTTGAAACGATTGATTCTTTATTACGTAATGGCTAGTATCTTTTTCTAAGTAACTTTCCTTGATTGTTCCTCATCACTGCTTCCAAAAATATAATGAAAATAGTTGGTGTGCTGCCTAACCGGCTTTAACCGACCTAATTGAGATGATTATTGATGATGAATCCAGAACCAATAATCACAGCGCAGTAACCAATGATAAGAAACGCATCACAGAGGGCAAATAACAGAGAACTCAAAGCAAGCACAAGAACACTGATGTAAACTGTCTTAAGCGGGGACATGCCCGAGGGATCAAGTCGCAACTAGTACTACTTTTGAATCTGATTTGTTGCACTTATGGCACGATTTGTCTGGACCAATCACAAAGAGTAATGAGGCTCATGCGAACTCGAAATTCTTTTTGTATAGTTGTAAGCTTACAACTCATCAATAAATGACCACAACTTCCTGTGGGCAACATACCAGCATCATCGGTTGAAATAACCAATTCCTCACTCCAGGTGCCATTTCCGTAATTGTTGTACGCTCTTAGCCAGCAACTGTAATTAGCAAAAGTTTTGAGACCTTTCAGTTGCCAATGATGTTCTTCAGGCAAGAACTCTGCGAAATAACTGTCCGAGGATTTAACTGCCTTACAAGAGGCGTGGTACCCAAGAAGTACTCCATTTGCAGAGGGCTTTGGAACATCTCCCCAGCTGAAGAAAATGCTTGTTGCGCTCACGTTATGACCATGGAAGTTGACTGGTGGGCTTGAAGGTGCTACCAAACAATCAGATTATGCAAAGAGAGATTTTTAAAAAGGTTGTCGGCGCCGATTTTGAACTAGACCACAGAGAATCAAGTCCAATTACAAGATTAAATACCGATTAACAAGTGTATGTATACTGCTACGATAAGCAGTATCCACTCAAACTTTCTGAGAAGGCCGGGATAGATCGACTACCAACACAGTTCATAACTAACTTGATCATTGAATTAAAAATGCGTAAAAAACATTTGTTACTCGCTTGGGTCAAGGAAGAGGACATCTGTGAGACAACTCAAACATACTCGCGTCATCTCAGTACATTTTGTCGTGCTCGAACACTTACGCCGCCTCTACGTACATCTGGTCGTGTTCCTGGCAATACGCTACGTCTTCTCAGTACATATATTTCATCGTCACAGCACACTTCGTCGTTTAAGTGCAGAAACGTCGTTTCATCACATTGACATCGCCTTAGTGCTCTAGCAGCGCCCTAGAGCATTTCGCTGTCTCTGTAAATTTTGCCGTTTCGATACACTCAGGTCGTCTCGTTATACTTACGTCGTTTGGGACACCTAGGCACATCACAGTGCTCCCATCGCACGGTCCTGTTGGTTGTGAAACACCACGGCCCACCTTTAGCAAATCCTCCCGGATTACGACAGAAATTTCCGCTGTTATTTATCGCTTGGTAAAGATGTCCATTGATGTTGTGTTTGTGTGGACATTGAGAATCCCACGCCTGGCATGAAAACCCGGATGTTGTGACGCTTTTGTTACCACGGTAGCCACGTCCATCACCATAGAAACAATCTGCGAAGCGGGCAAGATTATGGAGAGTTAAGTTTCAAGTCCATTGAAAAAAGGTAGACTTGAAAAAGTTCAGATAATCCATCAGTGTTCTGCTCTGCTCTGCTCCTCAAGCCACATTGATTTACGTATTACGAGTGCCAATTTTTCTTCATGGCTGAACCACGCCATGCAAACGGCTCCCGGGGTCCTCTTGTGACTTTCGAAATCGTGTCAACGAACGAATCTAGAATCACTGTAAAGCAACTCTGGATGCAGCGAGGTATTTGAGCCCATTGGCTTATCGTAAAGTGAATCATAACAGATATTCCCTTAATTCTCAGATGTTTGGGTTTCATCATGGTAAATAGATCTCCTAGCATTCAATAGCAAATGATGCAATCGGATCGGGTAATATATAAGCTACTCGTTATCTTTTTTGCGATATGGACAGTGAGTTAGGTGAGGAGGATACCGGTGTGCAGTTGTAAACAACCAGAAATATGTAAAAACGAGCCTCTATGTGCTTTTTTGAGCAATGAGTAGATGGATAATTAAAAAAATAGATTATTTGCTCTCGATTTCTGTGCATGAGATAACGATTTAAATCTCATCCTCATAATCCAATTGTTAATTAGTTCGAGACTTACCTTCACTCTCTAGCACGTCCAATTTGTCTAACCACAAGGAGAGGAAAAAAAAGAATTGGTCGGTAAGATTTACATTCATCCTTTGCAACGAAACTTTCTCGTGATTACAGGGTGCACGGCGTGTACCACACCTACATGATTCCAAAACCTGTTTCAAATCAACATCAGATTACACTTACACTTCACCCCCCTTATACTGCTCACACGACGCTGTCTTGTTTTACCACGGTTGACTAGAAGTGACTAAATCATGATAGCATCTTTGACACAAAAGAAGAGTGCTGATTGAAATGAGGGAGAGGGTACTTTTACCATTTCTAGCGTCATGCAAAGGGTAGTGATATATTTTTTCTCGGTACTACAGTTTTCAATTGGGCGTTGAAAGTAATCCGGGTTTGATTAATATGTTGCTTGATTAAACATTGCGATCTTTCCAGTTCTGAAACTTGCAGCACCCAGCACCCAATTAATTGAAAAGACGCCATGTTATGTCAAAATTGACCACTTAATGTACAAAAACTCGCTCAAAAATACTACTAACATTGATTTTGGGAGATAAACATGGATTAAATTTGGCCTGAAAGATTATTAGTTTTATTTGAGTGGCTCCGCTATCAGGGACCCTTCACTACAGGTAAAAGATAGTATGAGCAGGCCGTTGGGACTCTCTCAAAGGTAACCACGACCGCTAAATACTGGTGAAAATTGCATGAATTAAATGGAACAAATTCGGGACTTTGAAAACCGACGGTGCCGCTAAATATAGGTTCGACTGAAAGAGATTATAATCTCTTGTCGACTGTAATTACATTTATTTGAACGACCCATCACTTACCTCGTATCTTGTCAGGAGTATAGCACTGCGAAGACTCGTTCCTAGATGGCAGCCGCGTACAGTCTATGATATCAAAGTAGAACGGGTAAAAAGTATTCTGTCTCTCCTCCGTGAACTTCAGCACAATCTTATATTCTCGATCACAGTCGTGATAAAACATTTTTGTGCACGCTTCTCTGCACACAAATTGAGGATTAGTATCGATGTAGAAACGTTTAAAGTAGTGGTGGCAGTACACATCGTCCACCATATCCAGACAGCTCTGACGCACATTGAAAGAGTTGTCGATGGATTTTTGATACTTGATATTGCCAGTCGAATTTCGAGTCCGCAAAACAAAGTTCTTCGCTGTCTGAAATTGATTCATTTTTCTTTCATTCTTAGATAGCTCGGCTAAATATCTTCCGTAGACTGGTTGATAACCAAGGATGTGTTTGCAGTAGCCGTTTGGAAAGGAAAGTTGGTATGGTACACGAAGAAGCCCATTTGAGACTGCTGACCGCTTGGTCCTGTTACCCGTCGTCGCTGGGAGGCATCTGAAAAGAGGGTGTTAAGCGTTATGAACCCTTAAGGAAAACCAAAAACTCGTGATTTAGGCTCTGATCACGCTACGCTGTATAAATTTGGGACGCAGTCTTTATCCTCAAAATTCTGGGGCTGGATAAATCTTAAAACTAGCGGCAGGAATGCTCGGTACATCCCTGGGCATGCGCATGAAAAATATGAAGAGCAAAGCGTTTTGTACACTAAAGCACTGTCTTTGTGTCAGATTAGGATGCATGGCAATTTTTAAAAAAAAATTTATTTCTGAATTCATCCGCTTTTGGTCTGCAGAACAGGCGTGGTTTTGTTTTCTTCGTTTTTCTGGCGGGCGAAGGCAAGCGCGCCGCGGGCGAGCGGCGGCGGCATAGGAATGAGGGTGGGAGGTATCTTTTTGAGCATCCAACCTCGCGCTTGTCTTGCTCTTAGCGCTCGCCTTGCGCTTTCCTCCGCTCAGCAGAAAAAAAAAGGAATAGAATTTTAAAAAAGAACGTCTTTGAAACGGTACCACTTTTGATAGGTAATATCTCTGCCTGAGAGTGGATGTCTCTCGTCTAGCACGATGGATGAGGCCTTGATGTGCAATCGCAACCAAATATATTGATCGCTTTATTCCTGTCTTCATTTTGGCTGCAGCAACGATTTGCACATTTCTCTTCGATTACACAATGCTCACCTTCGTCTAGGGTACGTTAAGAAGCATTATACTTCACTTTGACTGTTTGATTTTCTACAGCTGTGACCAGAGAACACACCTTCGAAATGCTCTATTAATAGCTTTTGAAAACTAGTCCATCGCAGCAGAGTATAACGCTTCATAACGCGCGACACGTAACCACGGTCGACCTCATAGTAAGTTTGACATCAGCGGTATGCAGATGGGAGTAAATGTACATCGTGAGACAAAATATAATCCTTCATAACTTAAGTACGACTCACTCATTTGCTCTGGTGGCGTTTGCATCTGCAGAGCTTGCTCCTTCTGAAAGCGAATTCAAAATATTGTTTTTGGGTTTTTACACTAACACCTGGGGAGGGGTGTGGGGTGAGTTCATCTGTGACCAATGATAACACTAGTTCACATTGAGTGTTGTTAAATAGTCAAAAATTGATTCCTCCAATATCTGGTGATTGTATAAGCTCTAAGATCTTCCAAACACACTTAAAAAAGAACGGAGTAACTTAATTGTAGCTTACATTGTATGTCGTGTATTCAGCACAATGATATCACTGTTAAGTTCTATTCTCCAATCCCACACACATACCATCTCATACCACTTTTCACCCGTTTCGCTCGATTAGTTCAGAGTCTCATAAATATTCGGGGCAGCTATCTGACTTTCAAGTCACTTCAGAAGTATTCTGTCATCTAGCAGAGACGATCGAAAATCAGGCGAGGCAAGCGATAAACGGCAATTTGATAGTTCCCATAACCGATAGCCTGGCTCTAACTAAATCGTTCTGCTTAGGCCTGTTTGTGGAAGGGCTGTTGTTAGTAAAAAAAAGTCCGACGTTTTAATTGACAGTTTAAGCGGAAATCATCGTGAATTTAAAGGCTCATACACGGAAGGCCTCTGATGACGCCGTCGATTTGAATAATATGCAACTCACTTAGTTAACGAGGCATGAAATCATAAAACTTGAGTGTTAGCTCTCGTTGATAAAAGTCAAACCCCTTAGCGTAGAATTTTGATAAAAAAGGAAATCATTGGAGTCTTTCCTGAAGAAAGCTGGTAAATACAACGAGTCGGATTTCCATTATTGAACCGTAGTTGATTGAAGTGGCGCAACGGCTGACTCTACAATACCTGGTTCCCATCCGGAAGGATACTTAATTTTCTATTACTTTAGATCAAAAGAATGTTACTTTTACTTATTTATTTATTGACGTCATGGTTCGAAGTTCCTTATGGCAACATATGTTTCGTAAGTATATCACACAAAAAACTCAGTAGGAGCCAGTTCACATTCAAGGACTCATCTAGTTTTTTGTTGATTGAGCCTAGAGGAGCAAAGTTTTTACAGCCATTGACGTCCTCGTTGGAACTTTCTCGTAAGGACGGCTCTAATTTTTTTTTCGTTTGGACCTAAACGCACAAACATAACAACGAAGCTATGAGCTTGACTGACTTTGCCCCCTGTTTACCAATTGAAACCCAGCTTCCGCCTAATGCAACAGACAATGCTAAAATGTTTAAACTAATTTTCTGCTCTGTTTGAATAAACAGCACTCTGTCTTTATTTCAAACTTTCAGTTTAACTATATTACTAGATATAAGCCATATTATTTTTTACGGCTAAACCCAAACTGACCCTCACGGGGGTGGAGAAGAGTAGATAAAAACTTGTCTCGGGTGAATAAAGTGATATCCACTCACAACACGAAATAATCTCCTTTTGATTCGATAAATTTCCACTCTGAAAACTCATCGGAAATAACTTGTCACACCCTCTATTATTTGGAAACCTGTGTATGTTCCAAATACTGAGTTTTAATAAAAATATTCCGGCCGATTGACAACGGTCTACCGCTACCTACAAGGCCTCTTAACTCCGACTGTTTGGCCAGCGAGCTGGCTCTCATGTTATTGAAACTCCAGCACATATGCGGGCTATCTATGATCTTTGAACAAACGATCCACGGTATTGCCATTTTGATTTAGATTTGTGCTGTGCTCTTAAAACTCAACATCACCATAAATATCTGCTTTAGATGAGTTTATAAAAAATCAATTCAGTTTACACAAGGGACGTATTGAGGTGTAAAAGTTGTGCCATTTTTGTGACGAGAATTTGAGTTAGAATGCCGCAGTAGACATGCCCGAGCTAGAAGGTACAAACTGAAATATCTACTTAATATCGTGTAGTTTGTAGCGTTCTTACCTAACACGGCAACGATCAGGATCGTTATTCCAACACACTGTGTGGATATCGTCTGAGAAAACATCATTCCTTACTTCACACAGCCGTCACAAAGTCAAAGGGATTCACGCCGAAGCCTGACGAGAGAGGAAAATATTGAAATCCAAACTGAACACAAGGATATTAAAAGCCAACCTGTTGCTCGGTTAACTGTCTTAGAGATTCCGCACCTCAAAATATTTTACGGGTGTGCAAAAGTAACGACGGTTGCTGCAAGAGGCAGAAATTCTTTATCTGGTCTCCAGCAAACGATGGAAGTAATCCTTCACCCTAATGACCTTTTCTCAAAAATAAGAAAGCGTTTATATAAATGGAATTTAAATACTGACAATCACGCAATGCTAAGAGCTGAGTAAATGAAAATGTTTAGACTATCGATTTGAAAAATGTAGCTGAGTGATGTCATTCCTACTTGTGTGTTATTTTAGGAACTTTGTACGTGTTGTCTCTATGGTACTTATATTGCGCATTTTTGATAAGATGTTGTTCATTTGCACCAACGGGGCGTTAAGGAATAGAGAGTCTAAGGAGCACGGGAAAGTCCCTTTTTCACAATATTTGGACATTACCATTACTTTCGGCGTTCTTGCAACAATGACAAATAAAACATCCGGGACGAAAGAGAGAAAACGGTCGGTTTGTTTCCGGGTCGGTTCCAGAGTGGCATGACGTGAATTATAGCAAACCTCATTAAGTGTGCAATCTTGACAAGTCTGGAGGTCAAGAAGTCATCCATCTTCCTGTTTTGACACGTTGCCCAAACTTCCCTTAAATATTTGATTAGGCGCACTTTACTTTGAAAGTGGATTTTAACCAGAGTTGAAAGCTTTTCAATGTCAGGAGTTTTATTCTTAAAAAAAACGTTTTTCTTGTGCTTTTCGATCGCGAACAATGTTTTCGAAGATAGTTAAGATTTCTGTTGGGAAGAAACCTTTTCCTGTGTCAGGAGTAACAGGGAAAGAAGCATACCAATATCAATCATGTGGTGCAGAAGGGAGCCATATTTTGCGGTTTTCTTCATACGAGGAAGACGAATTGACTCTTGATTCGCATGCAGAGTTCTTAATTTTGCTGAAAGAAGTAAACTTGTAAGGCGTTTACATTACGGCACGGCAAAAGTATTTTAAGGAACGAGGACACCACGCCATTCCGCAAAAGACTACAAATTGAAAACCGTAAAAATTTTCATTCACTTTGAAATAAGTCATCTTTTTTATTCATTGTTTACTTCACTTTAGCAATGAAAACATGGCCACAGCATTTGTCATGGAATAAAAACTGTACAGCTTTCTCGCCATACATAAAGAAAATGTTCACATTGCGCCATCGACATTGGCGGCAAAAAGGTGTCGGAGAAAGTATTCACAACGCACATGATAACGAGCTGTATAATTTTCTTCCTTATGGAACCATTTCTTGGATGAAAACAAGTCTTCGATGGCAGTAAATAGCCTACCATAATAATAGTAATAAGGGGAAGGAATTCAGGATGGAAATTTTTTTCTGTCTTTATAAAATTGTGTTGTGTCCTTTTTCTTCTCAACTTTTGTATTTTGATTTGTTTCTTTTCGCTACCTATTTATTTAATAATCTATTAAATTATAGTGTAAGTACATATGTAAGTATAATATATAGAAAAAAAATAAAAATTAAAAAAAAAATAACCTACAGGCTCTCAGCTTCTTTAATTTTGTACGCAGGAACATATAAGCTTTGAGGACCCTTGAAGGTGTGTAGTAACACCTTGGAAAATTGTTTCAGCCACTTCTCTCGGACGGTGCCATGCAAATGAATCAATATATGTGTACGGTTTGGTACTCAGGGATGTGCTTTTTTTTCGGTGAACTTTCTTTAAATTTTTCCTCAGCTTCTCACGCTTCGTTTGGCCTCACATTTGTACAGTGGCCCTTAACCGTCACGGCATAAGTAATTACACCGCGGCAAAAGAAATAACCTTGTGGCAAAAGAAAAAACCTCATGTCAAAAGAAAAAACCTCACGGCAAAAGAAAAAACCTCACGGCAAAAGAAAAAACCTCACGGCAGAAAGAAAAAACCGCACGGCAAAGAGAAAAAGTCTTATTCTTTTTGTTGTGAGGTTTTTTCTTTTGCCGTGACAGTTGTGGGCCACCGTGCATTTCTTATGCTCCCCTAACTAGTACTCAAAAAATCCAAAAAAAATTGCTTGCCTTATGCGCATGCCCTTGTTTCCTCTCTAGAGGACGCGGTGTTGTCTCAAGTCATTTACAGATTGACGATCGGAAATCTTGTGAGTCTCCTTCTTGACTTGAGGAGAAAATATTGTTAAGTAAGTAAGTTTGAACCTGGTTTAAACTTTACTCTCATTCAGTCGGACAGCGGATTGGATAAGGTTGGCCTTTCCGATTGGCTGTCGACTATTTTTAAAGCTGTCAATCTCTTGTCGAGAATTTAACAAATTAGCACCCTCCGTTCCCTTGAGACGAGTGAGGTAACCATTCACTAATGGCGGTTGAGTAGCAACCGAAAGAATTCAACCAAATGAGCCATGAACAATACAGTATGTAAGTATGGTAAATGGAAATATGGCCGTTCCAGTTCATTATATGGCTATTAAACCCTCTCTGTGTGCTGTATATTCACAAAATTGGCAAATTCCTAACCCAGCAACGTCCATAACTCATAGGAATTTCTTCCACAGGTCTGGCGTGTTTATATTTAGTTGTGCAGTTGTTGTTTGTGTTGTTTAAACCTCAAATGACTGTTCGTGATCTTTTAATCTTCACAGCGGTCGTAGTCTCAACAAAGATTGGATACGAGGTAGAATAAAACATATTCCACGCCAACATTCTGGAGGACAAGCAAATAACTCAAAGCAGGTTAGCAAAATTAGCGCTGACTAACGATCGTATATTTGTTCAGTTTTAATCTCGTTGCCTCTACAAGATGACGTATTATACTTTTGTAATCCAGCTGCTGCTGGTAATCCACTTTACCCCTTTTCCTCAACAATTTTGTCATTTTGTTCTCTCGCAGAATGGTCGAGCAAGAAGTGCAACACCATTACGAAGTGCCTCGGCGAACATGCTGTTTGAGTCTAGCGATGATGAAATAAATGGTAAGAAAATTTCTTGTTATCGTAGTTCATGCCAGCTTTGACAAAATGCCGGTATTTTGACGTTATTCATGCCTTTTATTGAATAGAGTAGGCTTAAATCAAAGCTGAGAGGAGCATTAGATGTAATCTCCCAGTTTGTTTACCTGATTTGAAAGTGATCCAAAGGCATGCAACAATGAGAAGGTGGACGTGTAAATTATAGATCCCAGTCTTCAACAAACAACAAAGCTGTAATTCTTATATTTTGACAAGTTCAAGTTATTTATTGATATTTCTCAAACAAAGAAAACTCGTGGGTGTTATAATTTATACGTATTGCAGAGTCTAAAACTATTTTTAAGCTATATTTCAAAGGAAAAATTAGTTTAATTTACTTAGCATAATATTAATTTAATTTCTAAATTATGTTTCTGATTGGCAATGATTCTGGAATACAGGCTTTGATGTGGCAAAAAGCACTCTTGAGGTGATTTGAAGGTATATTAGAAAGATCAGGGTAATGAAAACATTGGAAAGGTGTCAAACTTTGGTAGAGGTCTACACTCTTTCCACAAATTAGAATTCCCAACATCTCCCTTCTTTTCGAAAGAAATTATTATCCCACCTTGTGATAGTTTTTCGAAAAAATAACTTATTCTTTAAAAGCTCACCTCAATTCAAGGGTTAGTACCTCTTGCTTTCTCAGGGCTAGAATCTTTGTTTCATAAAAAATTTCATTCTCAATGCTTTTGAGTATGATATATATAGTTGTTTGTAGACAACAAAGAAATGTTTTGGCATTACTTGTACATGCGTGAATTAGGAGCCAGAATTCTTGGGAAAGACACATGTGACCCTAAATGCATTTGTAATCTATGTTTTTTCTGTGCATTTAATGTAAGATGTTTTGTGGAATTTTCAGATACTGTCAAGGAATTCAAACTAACTTTGGTAAGAAATTGAACTAAGTGCAATTAACAGTTTCATTTTAATAGTGCTAATAATGTGCCAGTCAGGACAGAGTGTAGCCAAAGAAATAGGCTCTCACTTAAGATTGGAACCTTTATGCTACTGTCAGTGTTCTCCCTTATTTTAAGCATGACAGGTAAAATAAATTTTCAAACCGGTAAAGCAATCCTTTTACCGTTGAATTTTCAAGAATTCCAAGCAATTTTAAACAGTAATAAGAGGTACTACAAGTGGTAAATGTACTGCCTGAAAAGGAGAACACTTAAGAACACACTGTGGCACCAAAACTTAACATATCAGTTGATTCAAAATTAAAATCTTTTCTTTAGGAAGATATATAAACAATATCCTCTATTTGGCACAAAAATATGCCCAGATATTTGTCCACAAACATTTATCTGTTCCAAGATGCAAACAGCTTTATGAGAGCAAAGCTTGAGGAAAATTATGAGCTTCAAGAGATAGATAATGTCCAAGTACAAATCTGTGAGCACATTTTCACACAAAATGGAGGCTTTTGTGTTTATTTTTCTCCAAATATTTTTCAATGCACATGAAAAATGTTTTCAAACAGCTTACTGTTCATTGCGTGGGATGTTTTCTTTTCAGTGTTCTCTGGTTCCACTTTACAAACAAAAAATGTTTCCCTTCTTCTGTAACAACCGCTAAACAATTTCTCTTATCTTGAACATAAATTTTAAGTGAAGACTTATTGTAGTGGACTTGAATTTAAAAATTGGGGAATATCATTTGGGTGATATCCTCAGATGTTTGTTGCTGGGGAATATACAGTCATGTGATGCCTCGAGACCAATGGTGCAAGCAAAAACATTTGATGGATCATAAACTTAAATATTTTAGGATTGTAGGTGCATCACTGAAAAACCATTCATTACCCTTAATCTTGTGACTAGCATCTAATTTCTCTTAACCATATCAACCCATATTGCAGATGAAGGTCATGAGAATAAAGAAAATGATCACCAAATTAAGAAGCTCTTGATTGTTAACTTCTCCTTGTTAGCACTTTAGCAAAATTTATAGAGAACATTATGGAGAATATGCATACTGATGTTAGGGTATGAAGGTTTAACTAAATAATTTCCAGTCAATATAAGCGGCAATCCAGAGAGTTTAAGGGGGAAGCTGGCAGTTAACACCCCTTCATTAACAGGGTGTTCATTTGGCATTGTGCATTAGAGAGTTTGCTTGTTACTCTGCAGATTTTTGCTGCTAAATTTTGGAGGCCTGGGATATTTCTTATAAAGTTGTGGA